CAGTATCCTTAACAAGCGTACTAATATTTTTCTTTGGGTTTATTTATATTAAGTTACACAAAGCAAATAACTGAACGGATTGTGTTCTAAACATTTTATTGCTAGATCTCTCCTTGCAACTGATATAAACAATTGGTCTGATGATCGCATTTTGTTCATGAAGTAATCAAATAGATGTAAGTGCACCATTACATGTATGAAAGAAAGAGTTAAGGAAAGTCCACAGTTTTAATTTTCATTTCAGATGTCGTTGGAGCGGTTTCTCCTGCAGTGACAGCTAAGTCACCCCAATGAATCTTTTGCTCGGCCCAGACCCTGGCTGTGGTCTTGTTCTCCTTTCCACAATGCTGATGAGCACCATTGAGATTTGACAACACAGCACACTCAGTACTTTTGACGTACCACCAGCCTCCCGATATATTATGGACACAGTGTTCATTAACTTTATCCCGGGTACCAAACGACGAGCCATTATGATACTCGAGAGAGTCATGGACAGTCGCATCTACCAACAATAACAACAACAACGATGATATTGATAGTAATAATATTAAAATAATAATAATAACATAATAGTAATTAGGATGAAGAAGACGACGATAATGATATCAAGAACAAATTATGATACCATTTAATCATTAAGTGATGGTATAGTTATTAATATCGATATAAGTTCGAGAATGACGATATTGATGATGAAGCTCGAGTTGCACTTAGCTTCGAATCGAACGACTCTTACGCATCTTTCGTGCTCTATAGACTTCCCCATTGGTTCGTTCTCGACGAATGTTGAAGTATGAAGCTCTTTTTAAATAAAGAAGCGCAATACAGCCGTTTGGGAGACATGCATGTGCCGTAAATGCTAGTAATTGAGGATGTTGTCATGGCTGCAGTTGACATAATTGCCCTAAGGAAGCTAATTGACTTACTTGCAATATTTCCAAGGTTTAGCTGGTACATGGCTTTCTCGTCTCCGATCTTGAACCACGAATATTCAGCGTAGACCGCATTGCTCTTAACTCTTCCCAGATCTACTCGAAGTCTGTTTTCCGTCTCCTTTTGCGTCAGACGATAAATCTTGTCCAATCCGAGCCAATATTCACCAATAAGAAAATTACCGAAGCCATGCTTGTAGTCAGCCCAATCGCGGTTAAAATCCAAGCAACCATCCAGTCTCCTCTGAAACACCGTCCATCCCCCACCTGCTGTTGTCTGGTCACAATACACTTTAAAGGGACCTGAACCATCAGGGTCTATTGAGTAAACGCCGTTGATTCTTTCTCCGCATTTGTACAGCTCAGCACAATCCTTAGCTGTTGAAATTAAAGTGTGTTGTGTAAAGGTAAAGTGACGAGAGGTTCGTTATAGTACTTTGAAAATAACAGGCAAAGCGTGAAAGAGAGAGAAGTGAGGGGGGAGGGAAAGTAAACGGGCGGAGATAAGGAAAAGAAGGATGCAATGTCGAAAAGTGTGTTTTAAATTCCCGTTCCAGTCTCTGAGGTTTAGAAAAATAAAATATATGATAAATATCTGTCCATTTCACGGAATTTGCGAATAAACCTCTTTTTCTCATGAGTGGCAAAGGCATTAAACGTTTTCACAAAGGAAAAAAGTTTTCTCTCTATAAAAAGCCACTACCTTACCCTCTTACCTTTTTCAAGCAGTTTCCAGGTCTATTTTTGTGGTCCATCGGAGCGGTACTCGTTGTTGCTAATTTTTGAATCAACGCAAAAAGAGTCACGAGCAGCAAATTATTAGTTATTTGTAAGGACTTCATTATGGGATGCACTGGCTCACTCCAAGTAGTTTATAAAGATACAGGTTGTAAAGCAACACAACATGTACAAACAACTGCAGAAACTGCAAGGTCATAATCGTGTATTTATATCTTTTCAAGCGGTTTCTTATCCTTTTCTGGAATTTTTGGGTCATCGGCGTGTCTCACGAAAAAGGGACTTGAACAAATAAATAACTTAAATATCCTTTTGTAAAGATCAGTAAGGCGATCACAATAAACTCCGTGGGAAAAAAATTGAATTAAGAAGTTATGAATGGGTCAGTGACACGTAGCAGGTTGAATATACTCGACAAAGTATAGAATCATTCCCTAAAATCCACATTTCCTCACAAATCTGAAAGGGATTACAAATCAGTTTCACGAATCATTTGGATGTGGTTTCCATGGTGACGATTAGTCTGCGATTAACTCACAATACAAGAAACGACATATAGGTCCTGAGACTCCACTGCGAAAAACCGTATAAAAAACTCGGTAACAGCGCAACACCTTAAATCCTAATACCCCAGTTAACAGTTTAAGTGAATAAAACCGTTACGGTTACGAGCCATTTATCAGAGCTTCAAAATATCAACGGCTAAGCGTATACTAGGCTGACTCTACATGTCTTGTTGCATGTACCCGAGTAACCTAGTTGTCTACATTTTTGGTAATCAATAACGTTTGCTGATGACACCAGCATCGATTTTACAGATAATTTACCATAAACTCCTACAAACATGTCGAACAAACAAACAGAGGACCTAAGGTCATTAACGTCCTTGAATGATTTCAGAACTAAAATATGCCAAATTTCATCCGAACATCAATGCAATTGTTACTTATGTAGATAGTAGTTAATGTACTGTATATAATATACGATTTTATTTTTATTTTCTGTTTTTTATTCTTTCTTTCTCGGAGAAATTAGCTATACAGCTACTCTTGTGAATCCGAGATGATGTGATGCGATGTACGAAGGACATATACATCTAATAAACTGTTTGGTCCTAAAGCAAAACTCCGTCTGTTAAACACCTGTAAACATATGAAATCATATATGCGAACTGCGGTTTTAGAAATGAACTTGGAAGCATCTTCGCAATACTGTACACTACTTTTAAGTAGTGTTCTAGTGTTTTTTACTGTTTAAAAGCAGTAGTGAAAATAAGGCCTGAAAAAATTTCAGGCCTGTACGGGATTTGACCCCATGACCTCTGCGATGACGGCGCAGTGCTTTGCTAACTGAGCTAACAACTAAGAATTTTTTTAGGCCTTTTTAATTCTACGTTATCCTGTTTATTCTGAAAGTGTCGCTAAAACTTTCACATGACTTAACTTTCAAGGAGCTTTGCGTGCTCAGGAAATAGACCTCCACCTTTTAGGAGAAAGGGACGATACATCTTGTGTTAATAATAAGTTTCTACCTACTTTTATGTAACCTCTCGACTCAAATGTTACAAAATTTATACGAGATTAGGCCTCCTTTACTTGCGGTTTATGTTCATACCACCCAAGGAAAGTAAAGCAAGGATTTTATTCCGAGACAAAATATCCACTGTCATTTAATTGAAAATTTTTCTTCTCTAGACAAATTTATGCAGTTGTGTCCTATCTTTCTCCGACAGTTTTCACTTATCGGGTTTCATTTGATGTATCGTTAAGGCTTAGATTGGTAGCTTTTGTAGTTAATCATTCTTTTAGAACAGTTGTATTATTTGACTGTAACAAAGGTGCCTTGCTCTTCTCTCAGCTTATAAATCAATTACATGACTGTTGTCAGAAATGTTGTAGAGGAGTTACGCTTGGGTTAGGAGACTTCTTAAGTTCATGTGTGAACTGAAACAAATAGCAGTGTGTAGTATAAAAGGGAATTTAAATACTCTGAAACAGTCAGATCATTCTCTGAACCGTAATCAGGGAATTTGTTCGACGAAAAAATTACGAAAAAAACAGCAGCTGTCCGCCTATTGTCCACCACATGATTAAAGGTACACAAAAGCATCACACGAAAATAAACGGTGGGCCACAAACTGAGTTAATTTAGATCTTTGCTGCAGATTTCATCAAACCATACAGAAATAAGTAACTCTTATCAAGCTCTTTTTCTACATGTATTTCTTCGAACTGTAAATTGACTTTTTTTTGTCAATGACCAGAGGTACTTTCACAAACTGTACTCTTAAAAGGACGTTTTTTTCAGCTCAAAATCATGTCTGTTTTTATGTAGCCCTAAAAAATTATGAAACACCAGGAGACAATGGTAAGGAATGCAGTGACGTTCAATTACGACCTATTCTCCTTTTTCGAAAAATTTCACTCATGGAAGCACCTTTGAATACCGTAAACAGCTCGCCGTAGTATAGCAGGAGGTCTTGTGGGCTCGAGTACTGGACTCTGTTCTGTTTGAATTGTAATGATCTCGCAATCCTCCCCGATCATAAAGTAAATACCTAGACACGAAATTCCATAATTAAATGAACCTTGAATTCAAAGTATTTAACCCCCTAAGCTATAAAGCTCTTCTTTCTGAAAACAAATATCGATACTTCTGTCATTGGTCAGTGTTGTATTGTTGCTAATTGGCAATTTTTCTCCGCGTTTTGTTCGGTTTGACACAATTTTTTCGCTTATATTCACATAAAGTTTCAATAACTCAAATCGCTTTGTGATGCACCATGTTTTAACGAGTCTTAGATATTCTCTATAGAATCTCCTGAAGACCGCTAAGTGTATTTAGTTAGGGGGGAAAGTTAAGAGGAGAAGTGCTTTTTTTGAAAAGAAGTATTGAAAGCTAACCATCACACAAAGAAAATAAACTAATATTTGTGCACTAATGGATTTTTTTGTTTTAAAAAAGGATTGTGGATTTTAAAAATTACATCGCTTTAAACCAACAGATTTTCTATGTTCTATCCCATGTTGTGGATAGAGGCAGCGTTGCTTTTACAATAAACATAAAAGGACAAAAATAGCATGCTTTTCTTTAATTGTTGTTAATTTAATTCTTTAAACAGTATCCTTAACAAGCGTACTAATATTTTTCTTTGGGTTTATTTATATTAAGTTACACAAAGCAAATAACTGAACGGATTGTGTTCTAAACATTTTATTGCTACATTTCTCCTTGCAACTGATATAAACAATTGGTCTGATGATCGCATTTTGTTCATGAAGTAATCGAATAGATGTAAGTGCACCATTACATGTATGAAAGAAAGAGTTAAGGAAAGTCCACAGTTTTAATTTTCATTTCAGATGTCGTTGGAGCGGTTTCTCCTGCAGTGACAGCTAAGTCACCCCAATGGATCTTTTGCTCGGCCCAGACCCTGGCTGTGGTCTTGTTCTCCTTTCCACAATGCTGATGAGCACCATTGAGATTTGACAACACAGCACACTCAGTACTTTTGACGTACCACCAGCCTCCCGATATATTATGGACACAGTGTTCATTAACTTTATCCCGGGTACCAAACGACGAGCCATTATGATACTCGAGAGAGTCATGGACAGTCGCATCTATCAACAACAACAACAACAACGATGATATTGATAGTAATAATATTAAAATAATAATAATAACATAATAGTAATTAGGATGAAGAAGACGACGATAATGATATCAAGAACAAATTATGATATCATTTAATCATTAAGTGATGGTATAGTTATTAATATCGATATAAGTTCGAGAATGACGATATTGATGATGAAGCTCGAGTTGCACTTAGCTTCGAATCGAACGACTCTTACGCATCTTTCGTGCTCTATAGACTTCCCGATTGGTTCGTATCTCGACGAATGTTGAAGTATGAAGCTCTTTTTAAATAAAGAAGCGCAATACAGCCGTTTGGGAGACATGCATGTGCCGTAAATGCTAGTTATTGAGGATGTTGTCATGGCTGCAGTTGACATAATTGCCCTAAGGAAGCTAATTGACTTACTTGCAATATTTCCAAGGTTTAGCTGGTACATGGCTTTCTCGTCTCCGATCTTGAACCACGAATATTCAGCGTAGACCGCATTGCTCTTAACTCTTCCCAGATCTACTCGAAGTCTGTTTTCCGTCTCCTTTTGCGTCAGACGATAAATCTTGTCCAATCCGAGCCAATATTCACCAATAAGAAAATTACCGAAGCCATGCTTGTAGTCAGCCCAATCGCGGTTAAAATCCAAGCAACCATCCAGTCTCCTCTGAAACACCGTCCATCCCCCACCTTCTGTTGTCTGGTCACAATACACTTTAAAGGGACCTAAACCATCAGGGTCTATTGAGTAAACGCCGCTGATTCTTTCTCCGCATTTGTACAGCTCAGCACAATCCTTAGCTGTTGAAATTAAAGTGTTTAGTGTAAAGGTAAAGTGACGAGAGGTTCATTATAGTATTTTGAAAATAACAGGCAAAGCGTGAAAGAGAGAGAAGTGAGGGGGGAGGGAAAGTAAACGGGCGGAGATAAGGAAAAGAAGGATGCAATGTCGAAAAGTGTGTTTTAAATTCCCGTTCCAGTCTCTGAGGTTTAGAAAAATAAAATATATGATAAATCTCTGTCCATTTCACGGAATTTGCGAATAAACCTCTTTTTTCTCATGAGTGGCAAAGGCATTAAACGTTTTCACAAAGGAAAAAAAATTTTCTCTGTATAACAAGCCACTGCCTTACTCTCTTACCTTGTTTCAAGCAGTTTCTAGGTCTATTTTTGTGGTCCATCGGAGCGGTACTCGTTGTTGCTAATTTTTGAATCAACGCAAAAAGAGTCACGAGCAGCAAATTATTAGTTATTTGTAAGGACTTCATTATGGGATGCACTGGCTCACTCCAAGTAGTTTATAAAGATACAGGTTGTAAAGCAACACAACATGTACAAACAACTGCTAAACTGCAAGGTCATAATCGTGTATTTATATCTTTTCAAGCGGTTTCTTATCCTTTTCTGGAATTTTTGGGTCATCGGCGTGTCTCACGGAAAAGGGACTTGAACAAATAAATAACTTAAATATCCTTTTGTAAAGATCAGTAAGGCGATCACAATAAACTCCGTGGGAAAAAAATTGAATTAAGAAGTTATGAATGGGTCAGTGACACGTAGCAGGTTGAATATACTCGACAAAGTATAGAATCATTCCCTAAAATCCACATTTCTCACAAATCTGAAAGGGATTACAAATCAGTTTCACGGATCATTTGGATGTGGTTTCCATGGTGACGATTAGTCTGCGATTAACTCACAATACAAGAAACGACATATAGGTCCTGAGACTCCACTGCGAAAAACCGTATAAAAAACTCGGTAACAGCGCAACACCTTAAATCCTAATACCCCAGTTAACAGTTTAAGTGAATAAAACCGTTACGGTTACGAGCCATTTATCAGAGCTTCAAAATATCAACGGCTAAGCGTATACTAGGCTGACTCTACATGTCTTGTTGCACGTACCCGAGTTACCTAGTTGTCTACATTTTTGGTAATCAATAACGTTTGCTGATGACACCAGCATCGATTTTGTAGATAATTTACCATAAACTCCTACAAACATGTCGAACAAAATAACAGAGGACCTAAGGTCATTAACGTCCTTGAATGATTTCAGAACTAAAATATGCCAAATTTAATCCGAACATCAATGCAATTGTTACTTATGTAGATAGCAGTTAATGTACTGTATATAATATACGGTTTTATTTTTATTTTCTGTTTTTTATTCTTTCTTTCTCGGAGAAATTAGCTATACAGCTACTCTTGTGAATCCGAGATGATGTGATGTGATGTACGAAGGACATATACATCTAATAAACTGTTTGGTCCTAAAGCAAAACTCCGTCTGTTAAACACCTGTAAATATATGAAATCATATATGCAAACTGCGGTTTTAGAAATGAACTTGGAAGCATCTTCGCAATACTGTACACTACTTTTAAGTAGTGTTCTAGTGTTTTTTACTGTTTAAAAGCAGTAGTGAAAATAAGGCCTGAAAAAATTTCAGGCCTGTACGGGATTTGACCCCATGACCTCTGCGATTACGGTGCAGTGCTTTGCCAACTGAGCTAACAACCAAGAATTTTTTTTAGGCCTTTTTAATACTACGTTATCTTGTTTACTCTGAAAATGTCGCTAAAACTTTCACATGACTTAACTTTCAAGGAGCTTTGCGTGCTCAGGAAATAGACCTCCACCTTTTAGGAGAAAGGGACGATACATCTTGTGTTAATAATAAGTTTCTACCTACTTTCATGTAACCTCTCGACTCAAATTTATGTTTTATCCCTTCACTTTCTTATATCGAAAAAATTAATTCGTGTCACCACTGTTAATTAGGAAGCTGCTGTGCCTTTTCCTGGGCGTTTCCGTAACTTATCTCCGTAAACCACAATCCGTATTGCATCAGCAGGACTTAATATGAGAATTTGAACGTTGCAGGTAAATGTTCTTTGGGACGATAGAACACACATCCACTCGCGAAACAATTTACTGTACTAAATGTGTACTTTGTGGTTAAAGGCGAGATCTCAGATAATGAAATCTCCACAAATCAATGAAGCACAATGAAAGGAACATTGCTCATTTCGTAACTCATTGCCAGAAAAGTCGAATCAACATTTTCGTGGAGTAACACTTTCTTAGAATGCACAATTGCCTAGTTATGATCATACATTTCCGATGTTTTTTCAATGTTTTTCCTGGCATGAAACAAACAAATTTCGGTTCGGTTTTGCGAATTTTGTTTAGTTGCTTTTTGCGACGCCGTATTGTATGTTATTGAGTCAATGATCTGGGCAGATGCGACTTCAAATTTCTGTTTTCTAATTATATGAAAGCGTAACAAACCTTTCATATATCCATTCGATAAAGAGCAATATAAGACGGTTTTGAGGCCATATTTGTTAATTTTTTTAATTTGGAACCCTGACCGGTTTTGAGGGTCAAACACGTCTCGATGCGGCTAGAGGATTAACAGCTCATTTGACGAGGCCACCGATTTTGGATCCACTTTTCTGGCGATGACAACTTATTGTTAATTAAATCGTTCAACGGTGATATCAGTCAGATTGATTCGCCATAATATGAATGTTAAAATAGAACATTGTTATGGGCGTCCTCCGTACAAAAAACTAGGACTGTATTGTTTGATTTATGATAACCTCCTAAGGGGAATTAACGACCCACCAATGCTCTTGAGCTTAAAAAAAAACGCCGGCTAAAGCACGATTTTATTTTATCTCCTCTCCCCTAACCTCTTTTCTTTTTTTTTTTTTTTTCGATTATTCCGTGTAGCACGTGCATGGCTCACTCAGCTCATGAAACTTCTAACAAGTTTTTAATTTCAGCAAAAAGCTGTGCTCAGCTGTACAAATTGGGTGAGAGAAACAGCGGAACCAGCAGTGTCTACACAGTCGACCCCGATGATTCAGGTGCCTTTGAGGGCACGATACTATACGATACTTTGAAGCACAAACAACAGCTTTCGAAATTTATACGCCATAATCAGTTTGATGCAAACCAGCATACTCTGGTGAAATGGTGTGGCTTTTTTTTCAGCAACGAAAAAAATGGCTTCACCAAAGCGTTCTTTGCTGACGCAAATACCAGTATATATTTGCCACTCTCTATGTCCTCCATACGACAATCCGTGGGCGTAACTAACGTTAATCCGATCAATGATGCTTCCACCACTTGATCATAACCAATACGTTGAAGCGGATAAAGGACAACTATGCTCAAAGGCTTCCTTTTATAATTTCCTTTGTACGAACCAACTCCTAAAGTTTCAGGCTTTTCCCAAAGCCATTTGGCAACACGTCAAGTAGATTCTTTCCAGAACCTGTGCAGAAATTGCTTCTTTTTGTTCCGATTTTAATGCGGGAGACATGTTTAATTCAGAAAGAGACGTAAGAGTGTCTCTGTAAGAGCGGTCCGGTCGATTTTGCTTGAGACACGGATTTCGCCCATTTCTTGTGTGTTGTAAGACATTCGTGTACCTGTACTAAAACTACAATCCGTTTGATCGGATCTCTTTATTTTTCAGAGTTTTACGGAAATTAAAATTCACTCGAGCAAGGGCTTGTCGTGACACTTTTTAAGACTTTAATTTAAGACAACTTTGGAAGACAATTTACAAAAAACTACGGAGCTCAGCAAAATAAAAATACCCCAGCTATATATATTTACTCCATCTTATCTATCGAGAAGACTTTCGTGAACGTCACGTTTTAATCAAGCAAACAGGAAGACTTGAATGACAACTTATCGGTTCGCCTAAGTCACACACGCGAAAACCGATCAAATTCAAGGTAAATTATAGAGTATGAGATCTTTCGATCTACTCGTGGGCAGTGCCCGAGAACTCGCCGAATCTGCAAGCAATTTCTATGACACATTTGGAAGGCCACTTCCCTAGCATGTGAGAACCAAATCCTGGTTACATTTTTGAATTTGATTGGTGCCTGATTATTTTTATCGGTTCATTTATTGAATTTTACTCCAGTCTGAATCTACATTGCACCATAACCGTTTTCAGTTTATACTGAGTTCGATTAAGCTTCAAGCATTAAAATGACTTCTGTTTCCTTAAGTTGGACTTTACTGCTTGCGGCGCTTTTCGTGATGACAAAACATCTTGCTTCGACGTATGGAGCCCCTTGCCATAACGACACCCGAGGATTCCTGAAAGAAATACAGGAACAACTTAGACAGCTTCAATTGCAAGTTAAAACTTGTTAGAAGTTTTGGTGTGTAGTGTGTTGAGTATTTCTCCTCATTCTTTGCCCATAGGACGAGTCAAAATACGGTACAACGCGTAAAAATACTTAGCGATACTACATCCCAAAACGCCTAATAAGGCATATTTAAAGGAATATTTCATCCCCCAGAAGAAACAAATTATTGAAGGAGCCTTGCGTGCAGAGATATAGATGACCTTCCGACTTCAATAAGACACACTACTAAAACGGAAATGGCTACTGAAAGAAGGGAGGAGACTCAAACTTCCTGAGTTTTCTAGGTACATTACATTCCTGATATGTAATTCCTGATATCCCACTCGATTTTTTGTTTTTTGACCTGCGGGCTCGTCAAAATACGGCACAACTCATAAAAATTCTCAGCGATACTATACACCAAAACGTGTAATAAGATATATTTCTCCCAGAGACCTGTGTAATGATCGCTCGGCACAACGCAGAACAGGAATCGGCTATTTTATCAATCCCCTAATTTTTTCACTTAACAAACCAAAGACGTGTAATAGAGAAAAAAAAACAAAGCTGAACTTATGAGTTAAAGGGAAGTTTCAAATTAACTCGAATCACTTCCATGAGAAAAATTGGACATTT